CATATCCAGTTTCAGCAGTAACTGCACAACGGCAATAAAACGAGAAGAAAACAGCCCAGAACTCATGACAGGAATAGAGTTACTTTGTTTTTGTTTTTGTATCGTGGCGGTCCCATCTGAGATGGTGTTAATATATAAAAAAAAACAACAACCTTGTTTAATATTTTATTCATATTTGCAGCAGATAGTTGCTTAAAGATGAAAAAGAACCAGTCAGCTGTTATTAGCGGCAGAAGCCACGAAAAATGTGCTGCCTGAACAGAAAAGTCAAGATAAACATTCCATTATTTATGACTTTATATCCACAGTATTTTGTCCGAAACACAAACTTACAATGAGTGTTTTTGCATGAAGAATACAGATGTAATGAGATGAAAAAAACCCTGTTCCTTGTTCCCCTTCAGCTGGTGGAACGCAGTCCCAGGGCTCTGTCCCGGACCGCTGTCTACCTCTGCATCATCACCTTTGTAATGGGCGCCAGCATCCACCTGGTCGGGGACTCCATCAACCACCGGCTCATTCTGAGTGGCTACCAGCTCCACCTGTCGGTCAGAGAAAACCCAATCATCAAAGACCTAAAGCCGGCTTCGCTGGTAAGAGTCTCTCCCTCCTCCTCCACGACTGTCCTGGGAATGTTCAGAGGAGATGGTGAACGTTTGCTTGTCAGTGTTTCTGCGTCAGTGTTTTATCTGTGACACGCGTCAGGACAAAGGGAACGTCGTTTACCACCTGTCAGGACATTTTAGACCAAAACTCTGTTTTGTGCTACGCGTCAGGACTCTTGTGAGGTCGTCCAGAGAAGCGTGACAGACAGCACACCAAACAAACAAACAAGCCGGCAGAGAGAGCCTCGTTTGATCTTCCCTCTGCTGTGTAGGAGTGTGGCTCATTTCTCTCTGGTCTATTTTTTAGTCACCTCTCTTTTTCAGGATCATACGTATGACACAGACTGGTGTTTTTCTATAGGAGTGGGGATTACTGCTGGTTAATGTACGGGTTCTTAGTGGATCAAACTGAGTTTTCCCTCTAAATGCTTTGTTTGTCACTTGTATTGTGATTGCAGATTTACTGCACGCTAAATTGACATGAAACCCCTGACATGTTGACTGAGGCAGATTAAAACACCACTGTTGCGTAATCATTTCAAACATTTAAGTGCACATGTTATTAGTAATGAGCCCCGCAAACTGCCAGGCACGGATCAAGACTATTATCCCTGCTGGAGTTGATTCAAAGTGGGGCATCTGGGCTCCCAACTGGTATTTGTAAGCGTCAATGTTTCACTTAATCCTAAAGCTTTGTTATATTGACTTCCTTTTAGGGATTGGATTAACTGAGAATTTACATTAAGTTCTTTACCAGATCAGCACCGAGCTTCACATCAGACGTGGTGGTCTTCTACATACATCTACATCTGTATGTTCAATGTTCCAGGGTTTATTGTTATTGAACTTGTTTTTATTATTCTGCCTTTCATTTTTTCAAATTATAATCAGTTAATGAATCAACTAGCAGACTCTAATCGTTCAATAATAAATCCTAGTCTGCGCAGCATCTAAAGAGCTGGTGAAAAGCACAAATGATCCAGTAACTGAAAAAGCTTACTCCAAGGTGATGTTAATTCACTGGACTTGTTTTGAAGCCTGTAGGATTCCCTTTTTCAGGAAAATAGCTCGGTCTGCTCCTTTTGTCTTCTCCAGTGTGTGAGCCTGTTGGAGGTGATGATAAGTGACAGGGGAGGAGCGGAGCTCTCAAAAGGAGAGACAGTCCGTGGCAGGTGGGAGTGGGTGTCAGCTCAAATCAGAGATGATCTGTGGGAGCAAAGAGGGTCTATTGTTTCCTTAAGCGCTGACAAGATGAAGGTGTTACACGGCAAAAACACATACCGGTAATTACCTGCTCGTTAAGGCACAGCTCGGAACATAATAAGCAGACTCACAGACTTCATTCATCCAGATGAATGAATCCAGATGTATTTTTGTATCAAATACATGATAAAGCGGGCTCAGAAGGCCTTTCCTAGACGTGAAATTCATTTTGCAGACGCTTTTATCAGATGCGACGTAGTGAGAAACAGATCAGGGGGTAACGTAGGCTGTGATGGCTTTCCCAAGGACCCGGAGAAGTTGGGGGTGGCACCAAAGACCTTCCGACTGTCGGAGCACCACTCCATCATCCAGCACAACCAGGCCTAAAAAGCTGTTTATTAGTGTACACTGGGGTTATGGTGCAGACCTGTTTTTAAAAGGTTTTGTGTATGTTCACTAACACAAGTTATTAACATGACAGCGAAACCAAAATTTATATGGATCTGGTCAAAACTGGAAGGAGATCTTTTGATCTGTGAGACAATACAGTATTTTACATTTTTATTGTTCTGTTAGTTGATATTGATCTCATAAGAGAAATGTTTATATTTATTTGTATTTTGGGTCAGTTATTGGCACTTGAACCTTTAACTCCCTGCTCAACTGTTTGGAGGAGCATGTTTCACTGGTTATACTCAGTCAGGGGATATACAGGATATATATGAAGTGCATTTACCTTAATAGTTATTGCATTTATTTTTTACACTTTAACCATAAAGTATCACCCCAACTATTGATGAAGAAAGCACCGATTCTGGTTGTTATTGCTCCAAAGGAAATAAAAATAGCAAAGAAATATATTATGTCCTTTTTTCTAAGTGTAGATTTAAGAGGATTACATTGATTTTGAAAAGAAAAGAAATAATCTTTTCACCCTTTTAGTCTATAGACGTGCTCCCCACTTATGACCACTTGTTATTCTACTGAACTCGGAGAAACCTTGATAGACACTGGGAATTTTCAGTACCAAACCAAGGTCTCCCGCAGATATCAAACTGTCTATCAACTGGGTTTATCCTAATCTCTCCTCCCGGTGAGAGGGCAGAGGACATCTGTGAGGTGGCTGGGTGGGCTGGGTGGGCTGGAGTTCCTGGGAACAGAGGCAGGTGAGTGGGATTCAAACAGCTGCAGGGCATCATTAATCAGCCCCTCACTCCTCTGCAGCAGCAGACTGCCAGTCGATAGAGGAGCCAAAACAAGCCCCTGCATCTCCTCAGAGAGTATTAGTAACGGTTTTGATCCGTTGAGTTCAGCGTTCTTTCTTTCTCACCACAAGGACGACATCACTTTTGTCAACTCTGAAGTGGTTTGGTATGAAAACGTGTTATGAAAAAAAACTCAGAGAGTTGCAGGTGCTCCTACACTCTGACATCTGTGAGGTTTTCAGAGATGATATAACATCAAAGATGGAGACCATCGTGATTAGGCTGTGGGGATGATTTTTTATGTGTTGAAATATCGTGCAGGCATCTGGTGACTGTCAGGGCTGGTGTTGTTTCAGAGTGCGTTTAGCGATGCCTATATTTCATCATCCAATCTTTTAAGGCGTGGAAATATGGTAATAACCTTGCCTTAAAATGAGGTTTCATCCAAGATTTTTTATCAGGACAATTACATGAGAAGACTGATGAGTGATGGCATTTTTTTTTTTTCTGCAGCTGGTTATTTAAAGCTGTGTGGGGTCTCCATATTAAACCATTTTGTTGAGCTATATAAGTTCGCTCATCTTTCATATAAGAGTGAGTAATTAAGGCAATTTTATTTATTTTTTATTCCCTACATGGTAATCACTTACAGGTTGCTAATGAATGAGACTTTTTAAATTTATTATTATTTTTTAATTGATATAATGTTGACTTTGAACTAGCAGTTTTGTGTTAAGGTTTGAAGTGATTCCATATTTAATTCTTACTAAAAATGAGAGATTTCTAGCTTTAAACAGGCAATTCATGTTCTCTAACATCATTAAACAGGAAGTGATAGAAATTAATTGAGTCTCTGTGTACAGTGAGGTGTTGAACTGCATGGCGGTGAGAAAGTGAAAAGAAAAAAAACCCAGAGCTTTTCATGGCTTACCATTCATCCCTCCTTTGGCGTTCTGGTGCACAGCGCTGTTTTAACATGTCGCTCTTACAGGGTTTCACCTGCAAATCTGATAACAGGGCGCTATATCCTGTGATCCTCCATCAGCTTCCACTAATGAATTCTGCCATGTATGTAAATTAATCCATTACTGCCCCCCCCCCTCCCCCTCCCCACCCAACTTGTTCTTTCCTCTTCTCTGTAAATGTGGTTTTCTACTTGTACTTACAAAGTAAAAATGTATACTGAGCAGTAGGTGGCACTGTTGGATGCAGTTGAAGGAAAACTAAAACACAGCACAAATGAAACATACCGGCAGATATTGAGAGTTCTCAGTGATTAATTGTTTTTGGTCTTTTTTTCCACAGATTGACTCCTTTGAGCTGCTGTATTATTACGATGAACAGCTGGGACATTTGATGTGGTATGTGCTTTTAATATTTACATACAAAATATACATGCACAGAGATAAGAAAGTGTCTATGTGCAGTAATGAACATGTAGTGTGGACATTAAAACAATCTTGAGAATGTAAACCTTTATATGGTCTGATCCAGATTGTTTAAAATCTTTGAATATTTAAGCAGGTTGTTGAATAATCAGAAATATGGTGGCAGTATACCAGTGAAAAAAAAAAACCTTTTAACAATCTGCCCCAAAAAAAAGACAGCATCAGAAATGGATTTCTCTAAATACTGTATGTGAATGTGTGGTAAAAGCTCGGCTTCTCTGTCTTTTTAATCTTTTATCAGACCTTTGATTAGTGGACAGCTGGGCTTACAGCGTTGTTTCTCTACTATTTAGTTTTGATGTAATTTAGAGTTTCAATCAATTCTTTAAAAATGAAGACAATGTCTTTTTTTCAAAAATCATATTAAGAAAATATTGGTTAATCAGAAATGGGCTGTTCCGTACTTTAACCAACAGACCACCCCTGTTCTGCTTTAAGAGTAATAAAGACACCTGAATAATACACATGCTATTTATTGTTTACAGCTGAACAACAGCAGCCATGCTTCTAAACTTTCAAATAGTTATCTCTGGGATTCTTATCGATTGTTCCTTGAAAACATACATACATAAATGTGTTTGTATTCGGCTCCTATCACTTGAATATTAATCTGTTTCCAAAGTCCGCTGGCCTAGAAAACACCATGTGTTTACTCCAATCCTCTGCCCAACAGGGAGTGAGTTTTAAGTCACTGACTTAATTGGTACACTGAATTTCAAGCATGATAAAGAAAACAACAGTCCCAAAAAAAAGAAAAGGAAAAAAAGAATCGTCTTTCACTTTGATGTATGTTCTCTCAAGTGCGGACTGAGAGATTCTCGTTAACATCTTCGTTGGGATTCTTTCTTGGGATAGATGATGAATGATGAAGGGCTGAGGAACCTCGCTCCCTCTTAAGAATGTCACTTGTACTTCATTCTGATCATTCCTTTGAAATAAGGAGATCTCACATGTGAGGAAAACTTCCAAAGACATCATTTTCATTGAAAATGTCCGGATAAAAAAGAGCAGGGCTTTGGAGGGATTTAGGTAATATCTATAGAGTAATTATGGACTTTGAACTGAGCTGAGGAGGAAAGAGCATCTCAGATGAAGCCCACAGAGCTTATCCCAGCAGCCACTGGGACAGAATGAATGAATGAATTCAACATACATGTTTTTGGCTTGAATTGAATTGAATTGAAATTTAATTCACTTTGGCTTGTGGAAAAAACTGGGGAAACATGCCACTTCCACACATAAAGGCACCGGGGGGTCTAAACTGGGACAGAAATAACCACCACAGACCAAATAACCTTTGTATTAAACTATTTCTCAAAATGTCAATCAATAAGAATCACCAGGGGGCAGTACTGAGCGATCGAAGGACAGAAGACATAACAGTTGTTGGCTCAAAATAGAGAGTCCAATTAATGTTCCCAAATTAGATGTTCAGAATGGAATCAATTACGTTTTCTATTTAATAAGTTTTAAACCATTAGCGGCCTTCTCTAGTATGAAATATGTTTTGGCTCCAATGTCCACAGCCGTTAATGAGTCTATATCATGGTGACATTTTTTGGAAGTATATCCACAGTTCTTGTTTGAATGGAGGATGAGACCTCAGCTCTAATGACGCTGACCACTAAGATTATCCCTCCACGATGCAATCCGCCAAGCTTCATTAACTCAGTGTCACTCAGCGCTCAGAGACTTTTCCTACTCCCTGTTTGTCTTTCCAACATTCTTTTTCCTGTTAGACTTTTAATTGCCTTCCCAGTTCGTAAGGGCTGAGATGCCTTATGAATATCTTACTACTTCTACGGCTTGACTTGAAGGCAGAATACTATGGAAATGTCAAGAATTTCTTGAAAATGTCATCGGCTGGAGCCAAGCTTTACAAATATGAGATGCATCATACTGACATCTCTTTTCCAAGAAAACAGTTATTTTGAGATGAAAGAATAATGGAATTGGAACAAATGAGAATAATTACATGAAAAACAATAAAAACATCAGAGTCTAAAGGAGTATGACAGACTTAACTTTAGTTCCATTCACAGTCTTCTAAGATATAAGGGCACTAACATTTTAGTAATCGAGAGTAATCTTGTGATAACACAAGAGCTACGATAGATATGAGAGTTTCCTCAAACATTTTCAGTGTTAATTCCACTAGCAAAAAAAACCTGAAATGTGTCTATTGAATTAATTCAGAGTTCATTCTTGCAGATGTTTGTTTTTGCATTTTGTTTCCGTTTGCTGGTGGTGGAGAGAAGGCAAGTTTATTTGTAGCCTATAGCACATTTTGTGTACAATTCAAAGTGCTTTACAAAGATTTTAAAAGCAAAAAAACAATAAATGAAAATGAATCAACAAAATAAATAAGATAAAAAGTAAAGGGTGCAGATAAAATACATTCAGTTTCCACATGCACAGTTAAACAGAATATTTAGAAATGAGGCCTGTCTCACTTCTTCTGAAAGACTGATCCAGATTTTAGGAGCATGAAAGTAAAATGATGCCTCTCCTTGTTTAGTTCTGTCTCCGGGCACCAGCAGGAGACTGGAAACTTCTCAGAGTCCAAGATGGTTCTTATGGCTCTAACAAAAAAAAGAAGTATTTTGACGGTTGCCCATGAAGAGACCTGTACACAAGCAGAGCTGTTCTAAAGTCTGTTTTCTGAGGGACAGGAAGCCAGAGCAGAGACCGGAGAACTGGACTGATGTGGTCCTGTTTCCTGCAAAACTGGGGCCGAGGCTTTGCCTGCATCACAGTTTAGGCGGATATCGTTTGTCCAGAAGAGGCTTGTGCAAACTACAAACTAAGAACTAAAAATATAAAAGAGATGCCAGACCTGACAACTAAATTGTAAAAAGGCCAGACAATGAAAACTGAATGACAGAGAATATCCAAAAGCAGCGAGTATCTGACAATGACAGAGACAAACCAAGGGACATAAATATTACAATTATAAATGTATTAAATATTACCACTGGTGAACTGATTACCAAAGTGAGGGTTGTGAGACGGAGCAAACTAGACACTTAACTGAAGGAGGACAAAGAAAAGCAAGAATACCTAAGAACAAGCATCAAAATGACCAGTGATAAGAATGAATAAGTACAAACTGAGAATGAGTCATAATTCAAACAAACAACAAAACAAAAAACACAGAAAAAACAACTAAGACTCCGTGACTTCTGTGATGTTTATCATTCTTATTCAGAGATTTGGAGTCAGCCGGAGCCCCGCTGCGTTGTGATGTAGCTCCTCTGTGGGGAAAACACACCGTCTCTGGAACTAACAGGAACTTTAGCTTTGATTAAAACACCCAATCATAAAAAGCTCCATTTTCAAAAACTTCAACAAAGAAATGTACTAATGTCATGCCAATCTAGAACTAATAAGACTAATCTTTGTTGTTTTTTTTTTGTCCCAGGTATATTCCTTTCTTCATCATCTTGTTCATCTATTTCTGTGGCTGCTTCTCCAACTCTGAGGATCAGAGGAAGCTTCCGGTCAGCGGTTGGCTGCTGCTGGGACCCAGCGCCCTCTACTACTGGTCAGTCATTTCATATACAGTGGGGGAAATAAGTATTTGACCCCTTGCTGATTTTGCAGGTTTGCCCACTTACAAAGACTGCAACGATCTATAACTTTAATCATATGTACATCCTAACAGTGAAAGACAGAATCCCAAAGAAAATTCCAGAAAATCACATCATATGAATTTATAAAAATTGATAACCATCTGATGAGGAAAAATAAGCATTCTTTGTAAGTGGGTAAACCTGCAAAATCAGCAAGGGGTCAAATACTTGACCCCTTGGCGCCGAAAATGGCTGCCTCGGTGCTTTCACCAAAGCAAATTCCTTGTATGTGTAAACCTACTTGGCAATAAACCCAATTCTGATTCTGATTCTGATTCTTATTTCCCCCACTGTATGTTTATATCCTCGACACAGCGTACAATTAAAACAAAAAAGATTAAAACAGAGACCACCTTGTATTATCATCGGTGACTCATGGTTCTTGGGTCGTACTGTTTTGATGCCAAAAGCTCTCAAACTGTGCTTTTGTTGCCTTTTTATTATCAGAAGTTAGCGGTTAAATGTCACTTTTTTTTTCCTGAGATCACAGCTTGCTCCGTGTTTTTTCTCGTCTTCAAGGTACTTGGTCACTGAAGGACAGATCACAGAGCTCTTCCTGCTCACCTACGTCGCCATGGTTGCCGTGGTGATAGCTCGGCGCAGGAAGGGCCTGAGTCCAGACAGCAACGGGCTGTTCCTGGTGGGAGGCTTCAGCGGGACCGTGCTGCTGGTGGCTCTGTGGGTGGGCTGTCTGTGGAGCGACCCGGCGCTGAGAAACAAGTACCCCGGGCTCTTTTATGTTCCCGAGCCCTGGTCCTACTACACTCTACATATCAGGAACAGCCACTGAGACCTAGTCTGTGTTTCTAAAGGCGCCATGAAGTCGTCTTTGTTTCTATGAACTGGCCGCTTCAGACATGTGGAGCACGTTTCCTGTGGATGGAAGGGACGGCTGTATTCAAAAAGCAGCACATCTAAAGATCTGGCCATTTTGTTTGACTTTAAACAGGTAGTCGGATAATAAAATGTTAACGAGAAGTGCTCCTGTTTCTTAAAAATGTCACATCGTTGGAAGGAAACAAACTTTTGGAGTTTACTCTTGAATATTTGAGTATTTCTGTGAATTTATGTTTGTGTTATATAAGGGAAAGTCTGGTATGATATTTACTCTAAAGGGTAAATCAAGCTGTGCTTCACCTATTAGTTTTAAATCAATAAGAACAAAAAATCAACATGTTAAAAGGGTTGTCAAATAGTTGGGAATTTATTTAAAGAAAAAACAACATTTTCTACAAGAAAAAAAGAAGAAATTACCTCAAAGAATCTGTTTAATCAGTGACTTAATCCTCTAGCTTCTATTTTTTAATAGAAAAAGAGAGAAAGACATTAAAGACATAACTGGTCAACTTAGAGATCATAGGTCATACATATCACTCAGCTCATGGTCAGTAAAAATATATTTATGACAAACTCTAAAACAGGAAGTGAGAGCCACCTTGTTTGTTAGGCACCAGCTGTGCATGTGTGTGAGGACACACAACAGAAGTACACAACAGTTCCAGCCCATTCGTGTGCGGTTATGAAACCGTCTGCATTAATCCGGAGCTCTAACAGCCGGCGTCTGCCCGGCAGATGTTCATGTTTGTGACAGCCAACATCTGGACCTGCCTCAGAGTTGATGTTTCAGCACAATTCTCACTTTGAACAAACACATTCTTGGCTCAAAGCTGGAAGTGCAACGTCTGAGACATCCTCTTCGTATCCTGTTTTTTTTTAAATCAAATAAAGGTTCAATTAACCAAAATATTCTGATAAATTCAGTGTCTGAGGATAAATAAAACTTTGTAAAAAGTAATAACTATTATCTTTTCCCACCGAAAAAAAAAGTTATCTGTCAAGAGTTTAATTTTCTTGATTAGAATTGCATTTAAGCACTCAATTAATTTTTTTGTGGTTTCTGATTGTGCAAAACAAGAGATGCAGAGAATAATTATTCCCTCTCAAAAATAACTGTATTCAAGTGTGAGTCTGGCTGTATGTTTGTGACCTCGCTTACTTTTTCTGAGACTGAAGGTCTTTTCATACTCCTCTTCAAATAAGTTATTGATGTTTATGTGCACACAAAAACACTATATGATGCTCCTTATCTTATCAGCTCAGATGTTGAAATCAGACACACACACACAATTATTGTCTTACATCTTGCTATTTGGTATGAATTTAGGTTAAAAAAAAAACAAAGGAAGAACCATTAAATCACAATGAATACCTTTGAAACACATGAGACAAAACCTGGAGACATTAAACATTAAAAAGTTAGTGCTCAGTGAACACTAACCCTATAAAGTAAACCTCTTAACATAGTATCTTCCGGGGGCTAGATTTAGATGTTTCTGACACATACTGAGCTCTGCTTTTATCATATTACAAAAAGTGACAAAACTTCAAAACTATTAGATAAATTTAACTTTTTCATTTGGAAACACTGGACAGATCTTATATTTACATACAAGAAATGGGTTGGTAAACTTGTACTCATGACCCCTCCTGTGAAAAATTATGAATTATTCAGTTTACACTCACTGATAAATTACAGAGAAACGTCTTCTTTCTCATACAAAGGGGTCATTTTTAGAATAACAGACATTAGCTGTGACTCAGAAAACAAACAGCACTGTCATCAGTCAGTCATTGAAGTTACTTTTGTTGTTCTGTGTGTGTATCACTTGGTTTGACCAAATAAGTGTTGAAGTGTTTCCTCATGGTCCTGTTGTGTGGTCAGTTTTGTCCAGATAAGTTACAGAAGCTAAATCGGCTGTTAAGGAACACTGATCACATCACTTTCTTTTCACTTAAATCATGTTTGCTTGACCTCTTTTATGGTTAGTATTTGTTTTTTCATTTCTTTCTTCTTTATTTTTTATTTTGAGTTATTTTGGTAATAAAAAAATCTACTTTTTGAACACATCTGCCTGTTCTTTACCTGTCTGCCTGATGGAAAACCGGAACACCTGCATGTAACTGACATTTAAACTGATGGAAACATTTTGAGCACCAACCACATAAAAAATTATTGGATGGGTAAACCATCTACATGAACTAACAACCAAGTTAACTCTACAAAAAAACCCGTTAATGGAGGGAAACCTGCTGAAATCTCCCGTGCGGTCCCTGCAAACTGCTGGCTGTATATCCTGTTTATATCCTGTTACTATATGAAAAATACATTTAGTTTGTGAACTAGTATAGATATATTTCCATATTTCCCTCCAACTTACCATCCAGTCACAAACAATACAATTATTGATTTCCATACTGAAAGTGCTCAGTCAAATTTAAGTCATTCAAATTTGAACTGTGCTAACATCAAGATAATTTTGACATTTGCATGAAACAGTGTCAGAGCTAATTATGTGTAGGGTTACAAATGCCAGTCAAAACATTTTATTTTCAATAAAAAAAATGCTCCTGTTCCTTTTGCCGTGTTCTCCTATGAATAAGGTGCAATACTTTGTGCTGAGAAAGCATGAAATCCATGCAATGGATTTTTTACAGCACACTGAGCCCGAAGAGCAAACTTTGGCTTAATGAAGAACGATCCCATTCATCAGTGAGTGGAGGTTTGCTTCTGTTAAGCCAGACAATCGAAAGAAATGCTGGATGTGTTAAAATTGCTTCATACAATTCCTTCATCGAACAAAAGAATAAAAACTTAAATGCACAATCTGTTGGTGCTTATTGTAAAAGAACAGTATTGACACAATGCAATTGTCTGCTTTTGCAACAAATACCAAACAACCGGACTGAGAACTGGGACTTCATTCTCCAAAGGCATGAATTGAACTTGATCTGATCATCTTTTCTACTTGACAAATACTTGATTGTTTGACGCTGCTGGGTAGTGATGAATCTTTTGCTTCAAAAATGGAATCTAGACAGGAGCCTGTGTAATAATACTGTATTGTGTTTCTCCTCCCAGAACCACACCTGGATATCCGGTTTGCAGAGTACCCAGAGTGGATGCCAGCGTGGGTTATTGATTGACGCAGAGCAGAAAAAACTGCAGATGAACGTTGTCATTGTTGCAGATGGTTTTGAAGCTGCCTCACGAATTCGAAAGCCCCAGAACGGGCAGCTGCACAAATATATAGTCCTGTGGTCATTTGAATACGAGGCATATGCGGCAGTTAACAAAGGCTAACAGCATATGATTATGTGTCATTTTCCCTGTCCCACTTCACTCCGGCAGCCCTCCAGAATCAATAGAGAGAAGCCAGAGAGTGACCACAGAGAGATCCAGGCTGAACCGAACCCCCCCTCCCTGTTAAAGAGGAGCAGAAGGGTATTCTGACCCATGGGAAGGAAAACCAGCATGTCCTGAGACTGACAGGCTTTAATTAAAACGGTATTGTAAAGATCATGAGGGCCGTCTGCCTCGTTTGTTTCTGTGTGATCCCGCTATAGGCTGCTGACCTGTCCAGGTTAAAACCCGTCTCTCACACGAATTGGTAGCTGGGAAAGTTTAGAGTCGCACTGTGACCCCGATTTTTGATTAAACAGTTATAGAAAATGAAAGAATGAAAAGGTCATGGCCACATAGGAAGCTAAACCTTTGATGACTACTCTTTGTGTGGACTTTTACACACTTAGGTCTTGAATCTCAAATGTTTTAATCTTTTATTATACTATATTACTGTTTGAAATATTGATTTTTGGTTGGTTTGAGTTGAATTTCTTCTTTATGATCTTATTCAACTGCCTTTCAGGTTTAAAAACCAACGATTAAAAGCCTTTTAACGTGTCTCATTTCAGGCTGCGTGCATTGTGGGCGTGGTAAAGGAAGGGCCAGGATAAGGATAAGCATGCTGGATCTGGTATCAGCGTTTCCACAGCAACGCATATTAAGTTGCATTTCAGTGGACTTTAACCAGGCGGAGGGACAGGTGACGTTTGCAGGAAACACCATCCTTCCTGGAACGAAACCTAGCAGCCTCAGACATGGTAAGAGCCAGGAATGGCTTCTTTTGTGTTTTTCACTTTATTTTTTGTGTTGTGTTCTTCAAAAATAACACTAAACTGTTGTCTCCCGGCAGGCAAAGTTCTTCACTCCAACCCAAATCAGTGGTAAGAAAAGTTTTTTTTTTTTTAAGCAATGATCTATCTCTGTTTATAATAAGAATCAAATTGTCACCCTGATCTTCCACAAAGGGATGAACTGAGTTGTAACAGAACTTTCCCCCCCTTTTCAGAGTTCAAAGAATGCTTCTCGCTGTACGACAAGAAGCAAAAGGGCAAAATTGATTCGAAAGACTTGATCACGGTTATGCGCTGCCTGGGTACAAGTCCAACTCACGGTGAAATAGAGCGGCATCTCCAAGTTCACAAAATCGGTACGAACAATGTGATTGAAATTGAAATTCTCTTTTGACACACGACTCTTCAAAACTCTCTGAGTAAGACTCTGTTATAGAAATACTTCTGTGTCGTAAAGGAAAGGGGAAAAAAAACTGGCCACCATGTTTTTATGATGGGAAAGTTGGCTTACTTTTTTAAGCTTAAGCAATTTAAAAATATTTTGGCTCTGAAGCTATAAATTGATTGGTTATTTGGTTACTTCATGTGTAAAATAATATGTAAAATAACATTATCCCGGAGTAAAAAATGTGCCAAACTGTACCTATGACACCTTCACTACACCAAAACACATTTAGTTTACTTCTGTAACTTTGTCTATTCAATTGTTTTTCAAAGGCTCTAAAAAAAAAAACAGATCTAATGTAAATAATATGTGTGGTTAGAAAAAAATGGCGAGCTGGACTTCTCCGCGTTCCTGATGATGATGCACAGACAGATGCAGCAGGAGAACCCCAAGGCCGAAATCCTGGAGGCCTTCAGGATGACCGACAAGCAGAAGAAGGGATACATCCAGGCGTCCGAGCTGCGCGCCAAACTCACCAAGTTAGGAGAGAAACTCACAAACAAAGAAGGTAACTATAGAAGAGAGCAGAGCTGGAATCTCTGGATACATTAACTATTTAAAGTTGTGGGCTAAAAAGGCCCATGACCACAGTTACAGTCAGTTTCCTGCTCTCTGATATGTTCCAGAGTTTGTGAATTTAAATTAAAACCTCTTATGTCTAAACATAAATCATTAAAATGAACACCCAACATATAGACCTGGTAGCAACTTTCATACAAATCCAGAAATCAAAGACTTTAAACGCGTTTTTCATGGGGGAGACTCATTTAAAACCAAGTGCTGAGACAGTGGTGCAGTTTTGTTGGTTTCTAACACCTCACTGCCTTAATCCCACACTGCAAAAAAAAAACGGCATTGTGAATTACATTTAAGCATTTCTGAGCAAACTCTTTCCTCCACTCGGGTTGAAAATTCCCCACAGTGGTGCTTTCCTTTCATCTGTCACATTTGCTGCATCCTCTGTTGGTCGTGTTAATCTGGTTTCAAAGCTGAGCTCGGGAAAAACTGCCTGACAATTACAAGCCGCTTCCCCCTAAATCTGCAAAAAAAAAAAGTTGCCATTCATCTCCCTCCACAGCTGTCTCCCAACTTGCCGGCGTACAATGGCTCCTCGCCGGGTATTTACTCCAAACCTCGAGCATCACTCTCCCCTCCCGACAGCAAATATGTTTGTGGTCTCTGATACCACTTTGAGTAATTGCGTTGTACCAATCCTGTTTGTTTTCGAGACAGATGTCATTTCTCACCAGAAAAGCAGCAATGTCTGAATATAAATAGCATATTTTATGCCTCATTGATCATTTTGGGGTTGAATTTTCGCTCGGTGAAGTAACTTCAGAACAGCGTAGATATTTTCTGTATTCTAAGACATTTGTGTGTTTGTTCGCATGCTTTTTTACAAATGAGGAAACACAGATTAAGTGTGAGGCTACAACAAGCAGTGCACTTTAGCTGAGAGTGTAGGCTGGACAGAACAAGATAGCAAGACTCCATTTCCAGGGAGAAAAATCTAAAATCACAAATGAAAACATGTTACTTGAAAAAGACGAACACAAAAAAAAGGTGAAAATCAACTTCATTGCACATAAAACTGAGTCATTTTTACCTTTAGTAATGAAACAAAGCAGAACCTTGGATGTGGAGCTTTTTGTCCATTTTTAAGGAGCCTACATTGTCCTTTTTCCAGCCCAGATGCTGAACCGTTAGTTACAGTAACTGGCGCTTTAAACTCTGCATATATTTTTTTGTGGATTCTTAAATATTCCCTGCATACTTAAGCAATAGGAAATTGGAAGTCGAGTATAAAATATGAATCTTAGGAGGAGACTTTTGAAGGAGGGCCTCCAACAGGGATGCTGCTATCTGGTTCAAATCAAACCCTTTGGAGTTGATTTCGGGGTTTTTTTTTAAAGCGGGGATTCAAACGGCTCCTGACTTCATGTAATTCTAAGCACCGTCAGTGGGTGGGCGTCAGTAGGTGGGCACTTTGCACATTAAGCAGTTTATCATTAAAAAGCTAAACAGCTTCTTAGCGGGGAAGCATCCATCAAGCTGGTGTATTCCTCAAATGCTGAACAGTGATCCCAATTTACTGAGAGAACAGACAGCAGAGCTTTGAAGCTGATCAGCTTAATAACAGCGAAAGTGAGCAGCCGAGGAGGAAAAAGCATTCAGTCTTAGTGCCGCACGGCTTCAGTCCTGCTGTGTTTGATATGTTTGGATATTAATAAGTCACTGTATTCAGATTGGGAATATTTTTTATAGGATGTTTAGTTCAAGGGTTGCTGGAAAAATGCTGGGTCACAGTGACTGAGGCCCAGAAATCTGAGTCATCACGGTAGAGAAATGGCTTTTTTACGGTCGGTTCTGGTCATGCCTACTCATATAGCCGTTTCCTTTCTTCTTTCTCCAGTGGATGAGCTTTTCAAAGAGGCAAACGTCAAGTCGAACGGAATCATCAACTATGAGGAGTTCACCCACATGGTGACGCTGCCACCGGTCGATTACTGATTCCCCCAAGACGAATCCAACAAACCAAACCCAAAATTCTCAACAAACAAACGGACAAAATGACATCATACCACCTGTAACTGAGGCATTAACAGTCATATGTTGTACCTGTGTGGTGAAAAGTCTTCTCTTTTTTTTCTTCATGATTAGATCTGAATTGTTAAATCAAAAAACATATTTTCTCTTTTTAGATGTTTGGTAAATATCTGTGTTAAAAGCCTCCGGCTGACATGCACAAATTGTTGGATGTTGTTTAGATCTGTATTAATTAGCACCTCCATCAGTTTTATTTGTATTAACAAGCAAGGTAAATAAATAACTGCATGTAATAGCACACTACTACATTTTGAGTAATGCAGACGTTTATCAAAAGAGGCTTGGGTTTGAGGATTTTACTCATTGCCATGAGGATTTTTTTTATTGACTTCATTATCTGGGATGATATATCATTTACGTCAGGTAACAAAGCAAATCAATTTACATACTTTGACTCTTGATATTGTGCTTTGGAACCAACTTTGTCATACTAACCAAGAAACACTTATTTAAAAATAACTGGTAAAAAAGTGAAAAAATAAATTAACTGAAGTTGAACATATGAATGTCAATACATCTACTTCAAATATATGTTGCTGCATCTCCTGCTTATAATAATGATAATATATATTCACCCATCCATCTTTATGATCACTTCCCATAACTTAAAAACAGAAAAACTGGAAAAACAGAGATTCAAAACAGAGAAAACTCATACAGCATTAATATTAAACTTAAGCATACCACAGAAACAAACCTTTATTTCTGTGTTTTTCCTATCGGGGGTCCCACTTTAAAAGGTAAAATGACTAAACGCAGGAGATAAAGTATGTGTGATGTGCTGCGTGACACCTCTCAGTCAGCGGCCATTTTGATGTGTCTTTGGTGTTTTGCTTTTTTCCGACATTGATAAGACAGTCTTCCATATCCATCTAAGTCCCCTCTCTTATAAATGTGAAACTCGTTTGATCTTGTTATATTTAGCCAAGTAATAACTCTGACTTAGCACGTTGTCAAATTATTTTGCTCCCTGGGAGACCTTTGTCCAATTTCCAGACACAAAACATTCCTCTGAAGAGGAAATAAACACAGTCACATTCTTTTTTTTTGGAACTTATCTTTTAATAAGATGCTACACAGGTATGTCTGCGACTTTACAGATGGTGTCTGCATTTTGTCTGGACTGATAACATATTTGCCCACAACACATAAACCGAACCTAACAAGCAGTCTTTCTCTCCACATGCCAATTTGTTCAGAGCTGTGAAAATATTCAAATGAAATATTTCACCCCAGGTATTCCTGTTATCACTCTAAGGCAGACAGAGAAGGGACAGAGAAGAGCCTTTTGAAATTAAAAAAAAAAAAAGAAGAGAGAGAAACAAAATAGACAATGGTTGAAAGCTTTACATTATTGGTGGGAAGTTTTATAATATGACTAAATAATCATTTAATCCAAGTGCTAAGGTGATGGGTTTCAGACAGAGTGACGTCATAACCTGTAGAGACAAAGTTTAATATGGAATTCAGTTAACTTCCCCAAGATTTCTTGATTTTCAATCAGTGAATAATTGCATCCACACAAGCAGTGACGATAACAAAAACAATTGTTTACACATACACCCAAGATGTAAACAAAAAGCCTCAATGGAGACTGCATTCAGCCTCAAATTAATATTTAATTCCTCCTGAATCTCTTGAGTTTTTAGAATAAAATCAGTTATCACCGTTATGATAAATAATCATTGACCAACATGAGGGACTAAAATATTTCTGTTGACAAAAGTAAACACCAGATTAGATCTGACATACTGATAGCACACAATTACAGCACAACACTGGAGACATTCTCTTTAAAACAAATATTTATTTTAAAGTAGTGTCTTGAATAATTGTACAATAGGAATTTTATTTGTACATCATCAGTTCAAATCAAAGCTGACCTGATATTACTTGTTCAACCCATTTAGACCAATGTCTGTCTAAGCTCTAAAACCTACACATCGTTTAGAAAACAGCCTAAAAAAGACTAAAAGTTGATGAACTTCCTACTAAAGGTAACAGGAATATGGTTGAGATTTAAACCTAAATATAAAAAAACAAAAAGTAAAACATTAAAAAAAAACTTTTCACATCCCGCTCGACAGATAAAAGCATAATGATTTCATTTGAGATCTTAAAAGGAGACATGTTCTGCATCATTTCTCAATGGATTACCATTCGATGTGCAGAAGCATGAAGAAATAATGGAAAAATATGAAGCTCGGAGAATTCTGAGCTGCTTTTCACCCCCTTTTGATAATGAATCGGTTATTAGGATGATTCATTGTAAGCAGCAACGGGAAGGAAGGACGGACGGCTTTGGAAAGAGTCTGACAAGAGGAGATAAAGAAAAAAAATTAAACAGGTTGAGACATGTTCTCAGTGCTTTAATTATTTTTCACAAACCTCATGCAGTATCATGCAATCGGTTTTTTTTAAATTTCCCTTTGATTAGAGCAATGTCGACAATAACTTCAAAAGCATGCAATTTAACATGAATTCCACTTCTTGAACTTGAACAAATGATCCAGTACTGAAGTGAATAAGGCACTGGGCCCGCCAATACCTGAACCCTAAACGGATGGAGCCGCTCCGGCTTCTAGCACCAAGTGTTTCCTGCAGAATCCTTTTGATGTGAGAGCTTTAAGTGCGTGAGGATGTACACCTGTTACTGCTACATCATTGTAAAAGCTTTTTCTCCTCTTTTTTTTTCTTTTCTTTTCTTTTATTTTCCATTCGACTGTTAACAGCCTGAGAATTTGACAAGTCACAGCGGCCCTGTCAGAATGTGGACATGAACGCATTAGAGGATGTTAGCGTTTAAGGTCTTTTGAATGTTTAAAATGCCCCCAAAAAGTTGGCAAATGTACAAGTTTGAACTTATAAAACAGACTAAGTTGAATTTGGACAAGGCCACAGTTCTATATTGTCCACATATGGTCACTCTGGCTCCAAAGAGAACAAGTTAAAGGGAAATGGTGATGCCATGTTAGTTATGCACATTTATTAGACGTAGCCTGTGGTCTGCTTAAACAAAATATGCGATGATAGGGGGGACCTGAAATGGAGGGCCTGGCCTGACTGTGCCTGAAGATAGTTCCACATCAATTTAATCCTCAGACCCAAACGCTACTAGGGATAGGGATCGAAACCCGGTTCTATCAAGGACCCGGTTCCATTTTTTTCAAAACCCGAAAATCAATAACACGAGTAATACAGTTGTATATTGCTCAAATTGTTTTAGAATATGTAATTAAACTACTGATGCCAACATTTATTAAAAATTACATTTAATTTAAAATACAACTATTTATTTGTTAAATATTGTCGCATCGTCTTTCCACCAAATAACAGAAAAGTATCGATAGTGGTGTCGATAAAGACTCGGATCGATAAGGAGTATCGATAAAAGTATCGGTATCAATAAATATTAACGATCCCCATCCCTAAACGCTACATCTGTTTTTTAGGGAGTTGTTTTTTTAAAAAGTATTATAATCTAAGCAATTTCAGTCTGGCAACATAATATTACCAGCAAATAAAGGTCTTTCCAAATTAATTCCTGTTATTTTGTGTGACTCTACAACTGGGATCAACAGTTTAAAGTCAACGTGACCCACAGAAAAAACCTAATTCAACAGGGCATAACAGGTACTAATGGACAGATATGACCACATTAAGACTAGGCTCACTGCAAATGATCAGCTGCTCACAATTTAAAAATACATTATGCACCATTTATGTTTAGTCTTTTTTGTCAAGATTTGCACCACGTTACACAAAAAAAGTAGTTAACTGTGCAGTATCCCTTTTTCTAAAGATATAAAACTACCATAACAACCACTAAAAAAACGAACGAGTGCTTTTGTCTATAAGAACGATAACGTATTGAAAATTGAAAGAAATCTAAGTTTATGTAACACCCTACTTTCTGCTACACAAACCTCGTCGAATTGTGTTGGTGTCAAAAGTGCAAAACAAATATGTACATTCTTATCTTTTTTCCTTTTGCTTCACACAAATCAGGAGTGCGTGATCACAATTAGTCCGTGGAGGGTTCGGGGACTCTTAATTCCTCACGCAATCAGTGTCCCTGTTGATGAGGGCGGGGTGGGGGTTTGATTCCGGCCCTCAGCGGGGGGGCGTGGCTCTGGGGGGGGGGGGGGGCTCTGGGAGGTCCTGCAGCACCGCGTTTGTGCGTTGGAAAGATGGCAGCGGCCGAGCCATCGGACAGTCTGACAGAAGCCGGACGTCAGCCGGTCACGAAGGCAAACCGATTCTGTTTTTTTTTGGGGGGGGGAGAAAGCCGGAACGTCAATATTTTTATCAGTCACACAATTAAACAATTACAGGATTCATCACTGGCACAAAGGCAATTATCACAAATCAATTTTCCCCCTGATTGTTGAAAACAAACTATGAAAACAGATGAGGGTTTCTTATAATCTGTTTGAAAATCACAACAAATAATGCCAGCTACACTCTGAGAAAAGGGGAAAAGTTAGAAATCCGGACAAAATCAGGAAAAACTCAGTGTTTAAAGACTTAACCCTGTAATGCCAAATGTATCATATTTGATAGGTACAGTTTCTGAAATGTTTTGCGTCTGCTGTTTTGCATAATTTAATGCTCTTGTACACAATCAGATACACCTGATAACAGGGGGCAGAAGACTACACAAAAAATAATCTTGACTGATAAATTATTAATATAAAAAATGTATTTCTGTTTTTTATTTTTACATATTTTGTTAAAAGGCCAAATAAAGACTTAAAAAAAAAAAAAAGTAATTTTCTGTTTTGTTTTATTCTTGGATCGGGCTTTAAAGGGTTAAGTATGATTTATCTTTCATTTGTGCTCAATGCTGCCAGTTCTGATCATTAGGAAACATCTGTAATAGCCCTGAAAATACTAAACATGTATCAGAACAGGTAATTCCAGCTTATCTCCAGCATCAGAAAGATAATTGAAAATGGGACAATCACTCACGTAACTCTTGGAAAAAATCATGATAACGGACCCTGCTGAGAGGAAATGAGTAAGAATTTTACCTTTCCTTTGTGGTCCTTCTATAAATCTGTCCAATTATACCCAATAATGAAAGCCTATAATGTCATTTTAAATGGGTGGGTGGCTACACATGTATATATTCTACTCTGGAGAAAAGTAAATGTGCTAAGTGTCTAAATAAAACTGATGTTTAAACATGCGAAAGAGTAAAACGCTGTATAAAATAGTCAAATGAACAGGTCAACACTATGAGATATTTTTGTTCTCTTTGACCCCCCCCCCCCCCCTTCAGCTGTAGGTGGCAACACTAATGTTACAATAAAAAATCTCCATGTGGGCTCCACACATCATTTGAATAACGACCTAACAGCGGATATTTATGTCACAGTGCTACGTGTGTGTTCCTGTTTAATGATTCATTCATTCATCGGCCATATGGCTTCTTTTGTAAAGGGTCATGGGGGGGGCCGGAGCCCATCCAAACGCTTCATTATCCCACTGAAATGTTTTTACCTGAAAAATAACAGCGAGCAGAAGCAGCTTTAAGCTAACGCCGGCAGATCACTGGCTCACCAGCTCAAATATTACTGGAAAAGTACAAATAACCCACTTCTTGCCACATGTTTTTTTTTTTTTTTTTGGTCTTACTGTTTTTAATCTTTGAGTTTGTCTTGTGTGGAGGTGATAATTGTGTTTTATGATTGGCTCAAATGGCCTGTACAGCGCTTTGATTTCAGCTTTGGCTGACTGAAAGCGCTTTATAAATAAAGTTGAGTTGAGTTGAGATGATCTTACTCTTGAACCCTTTAAGCTGCACTCTAATGATCAAACTTTACACATGCAAATTCACTTTTTTACCTCAGCAAATTGGATCAGTAACGTACAGAATGAAAGCCGCTCTGTAACTCTGTATATGTGTTTTCATCAATTTGTCTCTTCTTAATACGGCAAACAGTTAAACCCTTTAAAGCCTGATCCAAGAATAAAACAAAGCAGAAAATTACTTTTTTTCGGTTTGAATTCCTTATTTGGCCTTTTAACAAAATATGTAAAAAGAAAAAACAGAAATACATTTTTCATATTAATAATTTATTACTATGCGATAAATCAAGATTATTATTTTTTGTGTAGTCTTCTGCCCCCTGTTATCAGGTGTATCTGATTGTGTACAATAGGATTTTGAGCAAAGTTTTTACCATTAAATTATGCAAAAGGTGTCAGACGCAAAACATTTGAGAAACCGTATGTATCAAATATGATACATTTGGCATTATAGGGATAATCACAGGAGCTCCCACAGAGGAAAACATGAGGGATCAACGTGGGGCTGAGTGGCTTATTCTGAGGCATCTTTGTGCTTTTTGACAGCTCCTCCCACCTCCGGGGAACAGAGACGGGAAAAGTGAGTGACATTTACCGTCTTCTCACAGTGTAACGCTCAGGTGTTCCTGGCGTTCATGTGGATGGAGCTTTGACACCTCTCATTGTTAATGCACGCTCCGAACCGCCCGAGGGGGTTTCAGAAACCCCCCGGTTAACAGAAACTCCCCGCATCCCAACGCAATCAGGCATCCCCGAAAAAGCACCTGACCGAACGGACCATCTGTCAGACACAGTGGGGGAAATAAGTATTTGACCCCCTTTGCTGATTTTGCAGGTTTGCCCACTTACAAAGAATGCTTATTTTTCCTCATCAGATGGTTATCAATTTGTATAAATTCATATGATGTGATTTTCTGGAATTTTCTTTTTGGATTCTGTCTTTCACTGTTAGAATAAAGTAGTAAATATGATTAAAGTTATAGATCGTTGCATTCCAATAAAGTAGTAAATATGATTAAAGTTATAGATCGTTGCATTCCTTATAAGTGGGCAAACCTGCAAAAATCAGCAAGGGGTCAAATACTTATTTCCCCCCACTGTATCTCTTCCGTGAGGCCCGGAAAACCTCCACACACCCCGACATGTCCACGGCCAGAACAGTGAGGTCTGCAGCCACTTTCTAAGGCCGATTATCGAAGCCATTTTTTTTACATTTTACTCACTCCACTCTATGAACCACCTTTTGAGTGAAGCTAAATTTAGAAAAGTTTAATCACCGTCAGTCAATAGTTGATGGTTATGAATTGGTTTTGGCCAGTTCATGCTCTGAGTGTACATCTCAAATATGAAAATCCCTATAGAAATGGAGTGAAATATGAGGCTTGTGCAGTTTAATTGAAGCCTGCTCACACCAACTCTGCGATGTTCAAATATTTGTGCGGTCAAAACTGATGTGCGTATCGATTTTTAAAAAACGTATTTGTATTGGTTCTTGCGTTTGCACAACGTGCTCCACTAAACTTTGATTTAGCAAATCTTTACATAGCTATATTTGATTCAAAATCTGATCGATTTGACTCATGGGAGGGCTCAATAAGTAGCCTGATGGCGTTTGGTGTCATTTAATTTTTCAGCCATTCCCTCTTAAAAGAAAGATCATCTTTGGAAACTAAAGCAACAGTCAGAATCAATACAAATACAAATATTAATACATATGCATAAGTATACATTATACTATATATCATACATACTGTAAGTACTCTATGATATATAGTACAAGTACTATATATAGAGGTATACACGACTTAATCTACACTTGAAACTATATTCAGTATATGGCAAGTATGTCTAACAGGATTTTGCACAAAGGTCTTGTTTTCGTCTCAGAGGCTGATAGTAAATCCTACAGAAATAAGCATCTATTGAGAA